GTCTACTGGCAGAGGAGTTCCACCCCCCCCCCCCCCCGGAGTGTCTTGGTTAGTGAAGCCGCCTGAGGATATCTCAGAGTTGCCATCGTCCTATCCCTGGATATCAGTTGTCAGGGGCTGGCATTACCTTTGTGTTTCAACTGTGATCTCCCAGGAGGCATTTTTTGGAAAAAAATGCTAGGCCAGATGGACAGTCATCTGATCCAGCAGTGCAATTGTTACTGAATGCAGCGTTTTTCCATCTTGCCCGTGTTCCTTTTGCTTTATTTTAATTTATTTGCACCCGGCCCTTCTTCCAAGGAATGTAAACGGGACACAGCTATGAATAGTTAACTTAAACAAGGTTACGCCATGCAAAAATATGTAATAAACAAACTCATAATGATAAAGGTTCTAAGTGTGCTTTATCCCAAATATAATAGTAAGTATAAATAAGATATAATACGTATACAACTACATTTAAATCAAAAGTCAATGGCAGAGATGTCCATTCCAAATACTTGAAAGATCTGACGTAGGAAAACTTTCCAAAGAATTATCCTGCTGTGTAAGAAAGTTTGCTTCCTCCTGACTTCATTAGGGTGATGAAGCTGTGTGGCAAATGAGGATCTACAAACAGAATTCTGTGTATGAACATATAACAAACTACATATAATTATAAAGATTATAAGACTTGATATCTGGAAACAGTTGCATTCCGTAATTATGTGATCTTATTACCCGTGAAAATTGTGAGTAGTCTTTATTGGAATCAAGTGCTTTTTTAATACTATGATGAGCACTATATGTCGTTTGTTATATGTTTATACATAGGATTTATCGATAGTTCGTTGGGTGTGGATCCTCATTTGCTATATAGCTTCATCACCCTAATGAAGCTGGGAGGAAGCGAACTTTCTTACACAGCAGGATAATTCTTTGGAAAGTTTTCCTACGTCAGATCTTTCAAGTGTTTGGAACGGACATCTTTGAGATTGAATTTTGACTTTTGGTTTAAATGTAGTTGTATACGTATTATTGGAGCTGCGGTGGCTCAAGTGGTTAAAACGCTGAACTGCAGGCTGTGGAAGGTCGGTCATTCAGCAGTTCGAGACCCGAGTGTGCCGCATGACGGAGTGAGCTCCCGTCTCTAGTTTCAGCTCCTGCCAACCTAGCAGTTCGAAAGCAAGAAATTGCAAGTAGATAAATAGGTACCACTTCGGTGTGAAGGTAACAGCGTTTGGTGCGCCTTGGTGTTTAGTCATGCCGGCCACATGACCACGGAAACGTCTTTGGACAGCGCTGGCTCACAACTTTAATGCCAGTCGCTCACAAAGTAGAATTTTTGCTCACAAGATTCCACAGCTTAGAGGGAGCATTGGTTGCATGGAGACGGTCCCAGGTCCAATCCCCGGCATTTCCATTTAAAAGGACCAGGCGGCAGGTGATGTGAAAGACCTCTGCCTGAGACCCTGGAGAGCTGCTGCCAGTCTGAGTGGACAATGTTAACCCTGATGGGCCAAGGGTCTGAGCAGCTTTATGTGAAAACTTAGTTCACATAAAGCAATCATAGACTGGTGCCTGACACAAATTCTCTCTCCCTCTCCTAGTGTAGAATTATTTCTTTCTAAACCAAAACATGCTACCTGGATGGATACTTACAGGGCTCTTTTTGTAGAAAAGTCCAGAAAGAACTCATTAGCATAACAGGCCACACCCAACACCAGAAACCCATTAGCATATTAGGCCACACCCCTGCCAGCACAGCTCATTAGCCCATTAGGCCGCACGCCCATGTTACCAGAAGTGTGCTCATCCAGCCACACCCACCTTTTGCTTCTTATTCTGTTTACCTTGTTTGTTGTCAAAACCCAGGGCTTTTTTTGGAGCAGGAACTCCTTTGCATGTTAGGCCACACACCCCTAATGTAGCCAATCCTAATGAGTTTCTGCTGTTGGGTGTGGCCTATTATGCTAATGAGTTCCTGCTGGGCGTGGCCAACTTGGTAGTGTAGAATTATTTCTTTCTAAACCAAAATATGCTACCTGGATGGATACTTAGAAATAAGGACCATCGCACTGTGTTTAAAGTAGTAAAGTCAATGTTTTTAGTAATGGAGCTTTGCAGACCTGAAATAACACGGGCAGTGACTTAAGACCTGCAAGTTGAAGCTTTTCCTCCTCTGAGCATGTCCAGAGTCCATTTCCTTTGCTTCCTCAGGGACTGAAAATGTCCAAATTGGGGTTCTTCCCAGCAGCTCTGGCTTGGGAAAGTCCTGGAGATTGGGGGGTGGAGATGGCAGAGAGACCGGCAGGGATGAAATAATGCAACGGAGCCGTCCCTCTGCCGTTTCCTCCTGGTAGACTCATCTCTGTAGAGCTCCGCTGTAAGTGCAGGAGAGTACCAGGTCCCACCCGGAGATTAGTAAACCAAAGAGGGATCACACTGACAAGGGAATATATCAAACAAGCAAACTGTGATAAAAATGACAATGACATTTAATAAATCTTATAAACATCAAATTATATTACAAATGAAACTTTTAACGTTATTACTAAGGGAATTCTGACATTCTCAAGCAAAAGTCCATCACCCTCAAGAGTTACCCTTTTATTTTAAAAAACGACAGCCTCTTGATACACACCTTGACTTCTTTTTTACTTCCTTCAGATTAAATTCTGGTTCCATTTTCAGATTATTACAGCTTGACTTCTTTTTTACTTCCTTCAGATTATCTTCTAGTTCCATTTCAAGTGTTTCAATTAGGAGCAAACCAGTTAATTTATTTCAAGCAGTAGCAACCAGTCCTCTTTTCTATCCGAAACCCTGTCCTTTTGCTGTCCCACCAGAAAGCCTTTTTTAAAAAAAAAAAAAAAAAAAAATTGGCTGGGAATTGCTCTCTTAACAAGTTGCTGGCTCAAGTGCTCTCTAGTTGTTTATGGTAGAAGCACATCAGTCCTCTTTTCTCTAATTCCCTTAGTAATAATGTAAAAGTTTCATTTGTAATATAATTCGATGTTTACAAGATTTACGTAATGTCATTTTCATTTTTATTACAGTGTTTGTTTGAGATATACCCACCTGGAGATTGGTAGGTGTGACCGCTCAACCCCCTCCTTTCTTAGGAAGCCGAAAGAGAACTACG